GTATGTATGTATGTATGTATGTATGTATGTATGTATGTATGTATGTATGTATGTATGTATGTATGTATGTATGTATGTATGTATGTATGTATGTATGTATGTATGTATGTATGTATGTATGTATGTATGTATGTATGTATGTATGTATGTATGTATGTATGTATGTATGTATGTATGTATGTATGTATGTATGTATGTATGTATGTATGTATGTATGTATGTATGTATGTATGTATGTATGTATGTATGTATGTATGTATGTATGTATGTATGTATGTATGTATGTATGTATGTATGTATGTATGTATGTATGTATGTATGTATGTATGTATGTATGTATGTATGTATGTATGTATGTATGTATGTATGTATGTATGTATGTATGTATGTATGTATGTATGTATGTATGTATGTATGTATGTATGTATGTATGTATGTATGTATACATACATACATACATACATACATACATACATTATATATATATATATATATGTATCCATGTATGTATCTTTGTATCTATGTAATTGTGTGTATGTAAGAATGTACGTACGCATTTGTGTATGGATGTATGTTTATGTATGTAATGTGTGTATATTACTGTATGTATGTAGTTCTATAGCGAGGCATGGAAACCACCGCTCATCGCATTGGCGAGTGTGACTAGCTATACCAGCACGCGATGAGAAATTATTCTACAATAAGTGCATCTGAGAATGTGTATGTATGTGTAAAATCATCAATGTATGAGTTGATGTGTTGGTTTGATCTGTTCTACTCCTTCTTTGTTATGTCAGTTGTTTGTCTGTCACGGTGAATTAATAATAAAACAAGGTCTATTGAGCTTTTCCGAAGGAGAAAATTTCTATTGAAACATTTTATGAAAAATAATTTCGCTTTTGTATTAAAAAAAAACAGTGATTGATATAACACATTTATTTCTCTCATTGTATCCACCATTGTAGCTGTTGTTTAGGAAACCGTTTAGCCGGTGTCTGTATATAATATGAAATGAACACTGGAGCGGTGAAAGCATTATAGAGGAACCCGGACACCAATACAATGCCATGCAACATCAGTAAAGTGTCTTTGTTGAGACTTGTTCGTTGCTACAGCCGGTGAACACAAGAAGAGTGAATTGCTAAAGTTTAATTTGTCACCCATACCCCCCTCCCAACCCCCCCCCCCCAACCCCAACCCCTCCCACCTAACCTCATTTAGCAACATTTCTACAATACTGACCTTTAAAATCATTTCTTCATCTTTTGTAGTTTAGTTTGTTGGCTTATAAAGCTGGGGAAAAAAACAGAAAAAGAAAAAAAAAAAACACTAGGCCTGGAAAATTGTTAAATCGTTGAAAATATCTAACGTGTACGATGTTTCGTGCCTTAAGCGCTACATGAAACTTAGATTCACTTAATTTGTAACCCTGAAGCCGTAACCGTATTGTAACTAGCAGCGATGTCATTGTGTTGGTCAAACTGAATGCCTGTAGCCGTAGATCGACACTTCCGATCAAAATGGACGCTAGGCAGAGGCACTGTTTGGAGCCGAGGCAAACTTTTTGCTTGCCGGACCGTGGCCGTTTTGCTCCATTTGTAGACTGGATATAGTTTTGTCGCCCAGCTTCTGAGCTGAATGCATGGCGTGACACCGTGAGCTGCTGATTTCATTTTGAATTTCTTTTCGACTGTGACCAACGTGGTGGTGTGAATTGTAGATTCAGAAAATTGAGATATGCCTGTCGTCGCAATGTTGGTGGTGCCCGTATGTGATTAAAATTGATCGCGTGTGCAACTGTTGATCTGTTGGTGACTTCTGTTACCATCAATTATGAACTGCATTTCTAATGTCGGTCTGTTTGTGTTAGCACTTCGGATGGCTACATATGCTTTAATGCGTGTGTATGCTAGATATGATGAGACAGCAGTCTGTCAATCTTTCAACAAGGGGCTGTGATAAACATTCTATGTGTTTTTCGTTGACACAGGAGCGGAGCAACGATGGGGTGACCCGTTTGCTATGAAGCTGAAACTCACTACCTGACTACCAGATTGGGTACATGACAAATAGTTCAAATACATATACAAGCGCGAGCACTGTGACTGGCGGACATAGATGGCGTAAAAGAACCGCATGGTGCTGTCTGCTGGTAAAGTTTGGCAAAAGTAATTACTTCACCACATTTCACTCATTCGTTTTTTTATTTTTTTTATTTTTTTTTTTAATCTACAACAGTTGCGCGTCAACCCATTGAGCTTTAATAAAGTAACGAAGTAGAAAGACAATGGCACTCTGTCCTAATGAACTCGGCCTATCTGTAATCACGCAGGCTGCGCACTGCACGCACACAACGAATAAACAGATTACCTTGTTCCTCCAGGCGCGCCCAGGCTAGGGTGTAACAAGATTACGGAACCAATGAAAACCCTTTTAAGTTTCAGACCGATAGTTTATAATCTAGAATGGAATCGAAATAACTGAACAGTAAAGTATAGAAGAACAGTACAGATACTCCCAGACGAGAGAACTCGTGGATTATTGATAATGGTTGGCACAGGTAAGTAATTGTCCTTCTGCTCACAACACAAGATTGTCTAGGGAAGTTTGCACCGCACAGTTAAGATATGTTATTCAGTTCTTCATTTTAACTTGACATGGTTACAGCAAAGCGGTCAGAGGTAGGATTATGTGTCTGTGAAAGACTGATGTGTTGGAAAAATTTTGCATAGTAGCTCAGGTGAGTCGTTTACTGCATGTTTATAATGATATGAAAATAATATCGTTGACATTTTAACATTTTGTTATAATGTTTGCTTGTTAAGATTGTTGGTTTCGTCACCATCATTCTTGTGCAACATTAGTGTGTCACAAGTAAAATGCATGTTTTCCGTTTAGTAAAATCATCTCTCTAACTTGTATATTTCTCTCAAGCAAACGTAAGATCGCCTCAGAATATGCGATACTCGGCGAAATCAACCGATTTCGGCGATCTTTTCGCCAACACCTGCCAAACCACTTTTCCAGGGCGTAAAATTATAATTATTTATCCATTTAAAATATAGTTTAAACATTCACAGATTTGTTTTTAACTTTCCTCTCCTTAAAATGCAAATATCATATTCATTATCATCATCATTATATTAACCCCTCCCCCTCCCCACCCGGGCCGATGATTTTTGGTAATCATGTCCCATGTGGGTTCTGATGGGAGTCCCGGTGGATAGTTCTGGTACTGTTTTGATATTTACAACGTTTAACAGGTCCCACCAGATCGCTGACCGACACCATTTTCAATATAATTTTCTCTATATAGAGGTAGTTTTTGTTTGGGTTTTTGTCTTCTGCAGCTTAATTTTTTTTTTATATTGTAGCTTCATTTTTTTCCTATGTATAAATTGGTACTTTTTTTAAGCCCCCTTCCCCCCCCCCCCTTTTTTTTTTTTTTTTTTTTTTTTTTTTTTGCCCAATTCCCTCACCCGATATAATTTCCTGAAACTTTTCCACGTCTTTAACTAAGTGCTCTTTCCGTTTGATATCTAGTGTATTTGTTTTTGTTTGTTGCTATTTCATATTATCTACGGCTGCCGACCTCATTCTTACACAGATATACTTGAGGTCCAGACCTGTGCACGCGCGGGTGCTCATCGTGTTCTGATGTATCTCTAAGACTCATGATCTATATATCTAGTTTTCTTCTGCTGATTACCCAGCTTCACTCGTATGTAGACTAGGAGTTCTATTCTGTGAGCGCTAGCTTGACTTCTGTTATGGCTCTTGTTGTGGATCTGTGGAGGCCAAAGAATGTATATCCATGTTTGTGTACTTACTGGCCGATATTTACCTACTGCAGGTTGATATCTGGAGGTTTAACACCCCAGCATGCTGTATGTCAATCCAACAATACAAATTTAAGGTATCCCGTTCAACCTGCTAATTATACATAGAGCACTATAAAAGCTACACTAAATCCTGCCCTGTTGTACCCTCAGACTATGCCCTTGGGTTTGCGAGTAAACATATTTCAAAGATCCCTGAAGCTTGTTAGTTTTACTGCGTTTGTGCTTTAGCAACGTCCTCTCGGTAGATCGGTCGCTTTGTGGAAAGATCGAGTCAAAATGCAATAGTTTCTTGATCAAATCAACTTTTTTTAGTACAGTTACTTAATGTTTATATCACAAACAGTAATTTGGTTGCTATGCGTGTACTTTGATGCAACAGGCTGACACAGCTCATCATCCCACATGTTCCCACTAATCTACAACATCGCGCTTCCGTCTTTTCTCGTCTGCATCAAACAGAGTTGACGTTGGCTAATTACTGATTGAAGAATCCACATCGCAGCACAGCCAGCATATCCATCAAAGCCCTGTATCCAGCGGCAAATGTCTTTGAAAAGAAGATGCTGAACATACCAGTGACGCACTGGTTGTACACGAGCCGCACAATTTGGCTTACCAATCTTTATCTGGTCCGACTCGATACACAGTGACATGTGCAAACGGCTCAGTGTCTCGTTCAGCAGGTTGTATTTTGGCTAGGTGTACTATGTAAATGTCGAACACTACAAGTGCCATTAGCGATCCTTGGGGAAGGCCAGGTCGTATAAGTATTGAATCCGTTCTCTAGGCTCTCAGACACAACTTACTGTATTATCCGACAGTTACCAGGTTGCCAACTAAGTGTTTACGCTGCAGTCAGTCAAGCACTGCATGGAGTAAGCTCCAGTCAGCATGTGTTGCAGTGGTTGACCAGTTGTACAGTTGTTAGCTTTCATCCCAGCTGACAAGTTGTACAGCCTTTTATTTACTTCCTGAATAATATGTAATATTCAAACACGTTGGTCATTTTTTTTTTTTAATTTGCCTTCTGCAGCTTTAGAGACACGAAGTACACACACTGTGTGTATGCCAGCGATATGTGATGACTGTACTCTTTGATGATGCGGCAAACATGCTCACAGTGTACAGCAAGATTCGAACACAAATCGATGCCATAAAATGGAGATTTGTGCAAGGATTCCCCCTCCTCCTACTCCACCATGGTTGCTGGACAAAACAACAGAGTTTCACAGACGAATGGCCAACTGTTCTAGTTTGACAAAATATGCAGGTGAGCGAGTTCAGAGCGCATACACAATCAATACACTCACACACGCAAACACAGGAACCCACACACCTATATATTTGTTCTTTGTAAACAAAACTGATTTACAGTTTCCAACTCACTTGTCGACCCAGTCTTGAGTGGATACCAGGTGTAGTCCTGGAAAGTAAAGGCGGCCAATGTGATGTTGAGCACATCACCCACTAAGTACCAATTGGTCTATACAATTTAGATCTAGCCCTATATGCCCATTACGCCTAAAAGTTGGAAAAAAGGTCCTTTACTCACTTTTTTTTTCACCTAGTTATCAGGTAAATACTTCCATTTATGTTTGTCTGTGCTCTATCCTCTATCTCTCTGCTGTGTTCAGACAAGCCTGCACTTGTGAGATAGAAAGACAGACAGACAGAGATAGAGAGCCAGTACATGAGACAGTAATACCAAGTGTGATACAATGGATCACATGTCTATTTAGCAAACTGTGGGCCTGGAAAAAATGGGGCACAGCTTGTATTATTTAACACATGTTCTGGAACTCAATCAGGAGACATCTGATTTCTCTCTTCCAACAGAACTCTGCCACGTGCAAGCTGCATCTGAATATCTACAAACAGTTCTAGACGCCGATGGCACAGGTAAAGACAAACACTCACGCTAGTGCGCCAGGCGCTCGCGCGCGTGCACACACACACACACGCACACAAACATACACACACACGCACACAAACACACACACACACGCACACATATATATATATATAGTAAGTAAAGTAAATATCCCTTTTTACGTTTGTAGCGCATCGGGCATATGGGAAGAGCACCAATGTGTTTACAGACCATTCAGCACTATGTGGGTAATGAGGTCAGCATTACGCCAGATATATGTATATATATATATATATATATATATATATATATATATATATATATATATATATACACATACATACATAATTACTTACACTTATATAATTACTTACACCTACACTTATACCAGAAATGGCTACATGGCTACTTTCGATTAACTAAGCGTAGCCGTCCATATATTAACAAATGAAAAGCATTAACGTAAAGTGCAGATGCCATAACTCAGGTGTATAAGTGTTGTCTAAATAAGAAATTATCCAGACAAAGAATGAAAACCGAGGCAGACAAAACATTGGGCGCCTCCTCAACCATCAAACACCCCCCCCCCCCCCCCCCCACTCCCCCAATCTGTGAGGTGCTGGAGCTTATGTTCCGAGTATGTTATGATATTTATTTCTTATTTATTACATTGTTATCATCATCATCATTAAGGAGCTGAATGATAGAAACAGTATGATACTGTCCTTGAAATAGAATGAAACATAAAAAAAATACTTTCAAAAATAATTTATATAAATGGTTCAAGGGGTTCTCAGCACCCTGACACACGAACTGAGCACTGAATAATTCCCTGAAACACGAACTGAGCACTGAATAATTCCCTGACACACGAACTGAGCACTGAATAATTCCCTGACACACGAACTGAGCACTGAATAATTCCCTGATACACGAATTGAGCACTGAATAATTCCCTGATACACGAATTGAGGACTGAATCATTCCCTGACACGCGAACTGAGCACTGAAATATTCCCTGATACACGAATTGAGGACTGAATCATTCCCTGACACGCGAACTGAGCACTGAAATATTCCCTGATACACGAAGTGAGCACTGGATAATTCCGTGACACACGAACTGAGCACTGATTAATTCTTCGACACAAAAACTGAGTACTGATGAATTCTTTGACACAAAAACTGAGTACTGATTATTTCTTTGACAAAAAAACTGACCCAACGTTTTAATCACTTCCCGTCCTTTTTAGGATGACATTTTTCGTTATGTCAAGCCCTACTCTGGCTCTTGCCAGGGGCCGCAAAATAGCTGGCCATAAAGATGGCTTAAAGGCTGAACGCGGTTTCTGGGACCTCTCCACGGTGATCCTCATCCACATAGTGGCACATTATGTTATCTGGTGTTTATCGCTTGTATGGTGACCTGGTGGGGTAGAAAGTCAGTCATCTAAAGCAAATAACAGAGGACTGGTGAGTTATATATCTAACGCAATAACAGAGGACTGGTGAATTATATATCTAACGCAATAACAGAGGACTGGTGAATTATATATCTAACGCAATAACAGAGGACTAGTGAATAATATATCTAACGCAGTAACAGAGGACTGGTGAATTATATATCTAACGCAATAACAGAGGACTGGTGAATTATTTCTCTAACGCAATAACAGAGGACTGATGAATTATATCTCTAACACAATAACAGAGAAGTGGTGAATTATATATCTAACGCAATAACAGAGAGCTGATGAATTATAAATCTGACGCAAATAACATAGGACTGGTGAATTGTATATCTAACGCAATAACAGAGGACTGGTGAATTACATATCCTATGCAATAACAGAGGACTGGTGAATTATATATCTGACGCAAATAACAGGACTGGTGAATTATATATCTGACGCATTAACAGAGAACTGGTGAATTATATATCTGACGCAATAACAGAGAACTGGTGAATTATATATCTGACGCAAATAACTGAGGACGGTTGAATTATATATCTGACGCAATAACAGAGGACTGGTGAATTATATTTCTGACGCAAATAACAGGACTGGTGAATTATATATCTGACGCATTAACAGAGAACTGGTGAATTATATATCTGACGCAATAACAGAGAACTGGTGAATTATATATCTGACGCAAATAACTGAGGACGGTTGAATTATATATCTGACGCATTAACAGAGAACTAGTGAATTATATATCTGACGCATTAACAGAGAACTGGTGAATTATATATCTGACGCATTAACAGAGAACTGGTGACTTGTATTCTGACGCAAATAACTGAGGACGGTTGAATTATATATCTGACGCATTAACAGAGGACTGGTGAATTATATATCTGACGCAATAACAGAGAACTGGTGAATTATATATCTGACGCATTAACAGAGAACTGGTTTATTATATATCTGACGCAAACAACAGAGAACTGGTTAATTATATATCTGACGCATTAACAGAGGATCTGTAAATTATAACTGTGATGCAGTAAGAGGACTTGTGAATGATATATTTGACGCATTAACAAAAGTTATGTGAGACTTATATATTTGAAACGGTAACAAAGCACTAATGAATAATATTCTATATCTGACTCAGTAACCGAGCACTGAGGAGTTCTATTCTATATCGGAACACAGTAACCAAGCACTGATAAGTTCTATTCTATATCTGAACACAGTAACCAAGCACTGATAAGTTCTATTCTATATCTGAACACAGTAACCGAGCACTGAGGAATTCTACTCTATACCTGCTAGAGTAACTTAGCACTGATTAAATTCTATATCTAAAACAGTAACTGAGCACTCTTATACGTTATTCTATATCTGATACAGTAACCGAGCACTCATACATTGTATTTTATATCAGACACAGTAACTCAGCACTGATCAATTCTATTCTCTATCTGATACAGGTGCAGCTGTCAACCAGTGGATAGCCTTCATCACCACTTGCACACTGGCTGTTTGCATTGTGATTTCTGTGTGCCTGCTTTACTTTCTGCACGCAAACAGGTGAGCTGCACATGTCAATAACAGTTCTCGTCCTGATGCCCAGATATCCATTTAGGAGACTAAAACATTGGAACCGACAAGAGTTACACATTTAAAACAGAACTTCACAGCAGAAAATTGCCTAACCCTTGTTGCGATCCTCACCTTTGTTGTGATCCGTACCTTTGTTGAGATCCTCACCTTTGTTGTGATTCTCATCTTTGTTGTGATCCTCACACTTGTTATGATCCTTACATTTGTTGCGATCCTCATCTTTGTTGTAATCCACGCCTTTGTTGTGATCCTCATCTTTGTTGTAATCCACGCCTTTGTTGCGATCCTCATCTTTGTTGCGATCCTCATCTTTGTTGTGATCCTCACCCTTGTTGTGTTTCTCACCTTTGTTGTAATCCACGCCTTTGTTGTGATCCTCGCCCTTGTTGTAATCCACGCCTTTGTTGCGATCCTCACACTTGTTATGATCCTTACATTTGTTGCGATCCTAATTTTTGTTGCGATCCTCATCTTTTCTGTGATCCTCACCCTTGTTGTGTTTCTCACCTTTGTTGTGATCCTCACCCTTGTTGTGATCCTCACCCTTGTTGTAATCCACGCCTTTGTTGTGATCCTTAACTTTGCTGTGGTCCTCGTCTTTGTTTGTGGTCCTCGTCTTTATTGTGGTCCTCACCGTTGTTGTGGTCCTAGCCTTTGTTGTGATCCTCGCCCTTGTTGTGATCCTCGCCTTCATTGTGGTCCTAGCCTTTGTTGTGATCCTCGCCCTTGTTGTGGTCCTTGCCTTTGCTGTGGTCCCCACCTTTGTTGTGGTCCTCGCATTTGTTGTGATCCCCGTCTTTGTTGTGATCCTCGCCCTTGTTGTGGTCCTCACCTTTATTGTGATCCTCACCTTTGTTGTGATCCTTGCCTTTGTTGTGGTCCTCACCTTTGTTGTGGTCCTCGCATTTGTTGTGATCCCCGTCTTTGTTGTGATCCTCGCCCTTGTTGTGGTCCTCACCTTTGTTGTGATCCTCACCTTTGTTGTGATCCTTGCCTTTGTTGTGGTCCTCGCATTTGCTGTGGTCCCCACCTTTGTTGTGGTCCTCGCATTTGTTGTGATCCCCGTCTTTGTTGTGATCCTCATCCTTGTTGTGATCCTCGCCTTTGTTGTGACCCTCACCTTTGTTGTGGTCCTGCCTTTGTTGTGATCCTTACCTTTGTTGTGGTCCTCGCATTTGTTGTGATCCCCGCCTTTGTTGTGGTCCTCACCTTTGTTGTGATCCTCGCCCTTGTTGTGATCCTCACCTTTGTTGTGGTCCTCGGATTTGTTGTGGTCCTCACCTTTGTTGTGGTCCTCACCTTTGTTGTGGTCCTCGCCTCTGTTGTGGTCCTCACCTTTGTTGTGGTCCTCACCCTTGTTGCGATCCTCACACTTGTTATTATCCTTACCTTTGTTGCGATCCTCATCTCTGTTGTGATCCTCGCCTTTGTTGTGATCCTCACCCTTGTTGTGATTCTCACCTTTGTTGTAATCCACGCCTTTGTTGTGATCCTTACCTTTGCTGTGGTCCTCGCCTCTGTTGTGGTCCTGCTTTTGTTGTGATCCTTACCTTTGTTGTGGTTCTCACCTCTGTTGTGGTCCTGCCTTTGTTGTGGTCCTCACTTTTGTTGTGATCCTTATCTTTGCTGTGGTCCTCGCCTCTGTTGTGGTCCTGCTTTTGTTGTGATCCTTACCTTTGTTGTGGTTCTCACCTCTGTTGTGGTCCTGCCTTTGTTGTGGTCCTCACTTTTGTTGTGATCCTTACCTTTGCTGTGGTCCTCGCCTCTGTTGTGGTCCTGCTTTTGTTGTGATCCTTACCTTTGTTGTGGTTCTCACCTCTGTCGTGGTCCTGCCTTTGTTGTGGTCCTCACCTTTGTTGTGGTCCTCACCTTTGTTGTGGTCCTCACCTTTGTTGTGGTCCTCACCTTTCTTGTGATCCTCGCCTTTGTTGTGGTCTTCGCCTTTGTTGTGATCCTTACCTTTGTTGTGATCCTCACCTTTGTTGTGATCCTCACCTTTGTTGTGGTCCTCACCTTTGTTGTGATCCTCACCTTTGTTGTCGTCCTCGCCTTTGTTGTGGTCCTGCCTTTGTTGTGATCCTTACCTTTGATGTGGTCCTCGCATTTGTTGTGATCCCCGTCTTTGTTGTGATCCTCATCCTTGTTGTGATCCTCGCCTTTGTTGTGATCCTCGCCTCTGTTGTGGTCCTGCCTTTGTTGTGGTCCTCACCTTTGTTGTGGTTTTCACCTTTGTTGTGGTCCTCGCCTTTGTTGTGGTCCTCATCTTTGTTGTGGTCCTTACTTTTGTTGTGATCCTTACCTTTGTTGTGGTTCATCTTTGATGTGGTCCTCACCTTTGTTGTGGTCCTCGCCTTTGTTGTGGTCCTCACCTTTGTTGTGATCCTCGCCCTTGTTGTGATCCTCACCTTTGTTGTGGTCCACGGATTTGTTGTGGTCCTCACCTTTGTTGTGGTCCTCACCTTTGTTGTGGTCCTCGCCTCTGTTGTGGTCCTCATCTTTGTTGTGGTCCTCACCCTTGTTGCGATCCTCACACTTGTTATTATCCTTACCTTTGTTGCGATCCTCATCTCTGTTGTGATCCTCGCCTTTGTTGTGATCCTCACCCTTGTTGTGATTCTCACCTTTGTTGTAATCCACGCCTTTGTTGTGATCCTTACCTTTGCTGTGGTCCTCGCCTCTGTTGTGGTCCTGCTTTTGTTGTGATCCTTACCTTTGTTGTAGTTCTCACCTCTGTTGCGGTCCTGCCTTTGTTGTGGTCCTCACTTTTGTTGTGATCCTTATCTTTGCTGTGGTCCTCGCCTCTGTTGTGGTCCTGCTTTTGTTGTGATCCTTACCTTTGTTGTGGTTCTCACCTCTGTTGTGGTCCTGCCTTTGTTGTGGTCCTCACTTTTGTTGTGATCCTTACCTTTGCTGTGGTCCTCGCCTCTGTTGTAGTCCTGCTTTTGTTGTGATCCTTACCTTTGTTGTGGTTCTCACCTCTGTCGTGGTCCTGCCTTTGTTGTGGTCCTCACCTTTGTTGTGGTCCTCACCTTTGTTGTGGTCCTCACCTTTGTTGTGGTCCTCACCTTTCTTGTGATCCTCGCCTTTGTTGTGGTCTTCGCCTTTGTTGTGATCCTCACCTTTGTTGTGATCCTCACTTTTGTTGTGATCCTCACCTTTGTTGTGGTCCCCACCTTTGTTGTGATCCTCACCTTTGTTGTGATCCTCATCATTGTTATGATCCTCACCTTTGTTATGATCCTCGCCTTTTTTGTGATCCTCATCATTGTTATGATCCTCGCCTTTGTTGTGATCCTCACCTTTGTTGTGATCCTCATCTTTGTTGTGGTCCTCGCCTTTGTTGTGGTCCTCGCCTTTGTTGTGATCCTCATCTTTGTTGTGGTCCTCGCCTTTGTTGTGGTCCTCGCCTTTGTTGTGATCCTCATCTTTGTTGTGATCCTCACCTTTGTTGTGGTCCTCGCCTTTGTTGTGATCCCTGTCTTTGTTGTGATCCTCATCCTTGTTGTGATCCTCGCCTTTGTTGTGATCCCCGTCTTTGTTGTGGTCCTCACCTTTGTTGTGGTCCTCGCCTTTGTTGTGGTCCTCACCTTTGTCGTGGTCCTCACCTTTGTTGTTACAGACCTGTGTCGATCATTTTGCTCACCTAGGTACAGCGTGGGAGACTGTTTTCTGGTAGGCAGTTGATGAATAGATTTATCTCAGTAGAAACGCACAAGACTTATACCATCTCGTGAACCAGTCCTCTTTCCCAACAATAATTATTTTTGGGGAGGGGAGGGGCCTCAAGGAACCTAAGTGCCCCCCCCCCCCCCCCCAACCCTAGAATCCAGTACCCAACTTGCACCAGTAGGTAAGCAACAACTCTGAACTATCTGATTAGGTCAGTAATAATTATTATCACCTCGGAAGACTTTTTCCATCTCTTGTACTATCTCAGGAGACTTCTTTCATCCCTTGTACCATCTCGGTAGACTTATTCTATCCCTTGTACCATCTCGGTAGACTTCTTCCATCCCTTGTACCATCTCGGTAGACTTCTTCTATCCCTTGTACCATCTCGGTAGACTTCTTCCATCCCTTGTACCATCTCGGTAGACTTCTTCCAACCCTTATACCACCTCGGTAGACTTCTTCCATCCCTTATACCACCTCGGTAGACTTCTTCCATCCCTTATACCACCTCGGTAGACTTCTTCCATCCCTTATACCACCTCGGTAGACTTCTTCCATCCCTTATACCACCTCGGTAGACTTCTTCTATCCCTTGTACCACCTCGGTAGACTTCTTCTTTCCCTTCTATCACCTTGATAGACTTCTTCCATCCCTTATACCATCTCGGTAGACGCCTTCCATCCATGAACGTCAGTAATAAGCATGCACTATTTCGGTTGGTAACATACACTCTATGTCGGTATTTTTTTATTTTTTTTTTTATCAAGAAACCATGAGTTCTTAACCCTTTGGCTCGGTACTATGGATAGCGCAACCCTTCTGCCTTGATTCCATAATAGGTACCGTAAATCTGGATGAAATGTGGCTTTTCTGCCCACCCCCGGGAGTGAACCCGGACCACAAGGAGTTCGTCAGCCGGTCATCGCGATGTCAGGTTTAACCAACTATGCTAGAGAGCCGGGCATCTCGGTAGGTAAATGGCATATGCTGCCTCTCTTTCAGTGAATAGCAATTATCTATAAGTGTTATTTTCCTTGTCTCTGTAACTATTAATTGTTGTTACTTTTAAGGGGTCCCTACACAAATTTTTTTAAAATTATTTACAGAGTTAGAGTAATTATTTTATAATGATCACTTGTAGGGATACATGTTATTACATTTTCATACTTTAAGTGTTAAAAAAATCATGGTTGTTATGGCAACAGCCGCCATCTTGGGGGAAAAACAACATGTATTTAGAATTCTAAAATTTTAAAAACATACATACATATCAACAATAGATGATAGATTCATC